AAATTTAAAATTCCCATGTTATTCATTCATAAACTGTTGTAATTTGTTTGTTTATGGATATGTTTTGATGAAACTTGGAAAATTTATTTATTTTAAGCTAAGCAAGCATGTTTCTTTAAAACCTTTTTTCTCAGTTCGTGTGCATCGTAGGGATAATCTACGAATACTTTAAGAAAGACAGTGGCGGCGATAAGAGCCATGGCCGCCTTTAACTTCAGGCTGCGGCCTTCGAACACTAGCGTCTAGACTGCCAGTGCAAGTCCGAGGAACGGAGGATCGTGGATCAGATCATACCGGCGCATCAGCATAGCTTATCTAACTGTTCGCGGAAAATTGTTATCTGTATCACTGTTGCTGTCAAAACGTATAATTTGTAGATTAAATTTGAATTAAATATAATTAAACTATCATAACCTAACCAAACTAATCAAACTTGCTGATAATGATAAACTCGAATGAAGGTTTACTAATCGAAAAATAGCTCTGTTCTAAAAATAAAATTAAAAATGTCTCAAATTCAATTTTACAATCTTTTAATTATAAAATTAAACTGTTATAACCTAACCAAACCAACCAAACTTGCTGATATGAAAAAAATTGTTGACAAAAAGTTAGTGCTCCCAGTGGGGTTCAAACCCGGACCCTCAGATTATCAGCCCGACACGCTATCCACTACACCACAAAGGCTCATCTCATGACTCAGTTCGGTTCAGTATCGTTGCAGTAATGGTTGACGTCACGCCATCGGCACTGAGCGGTGGTGGGGGTTTTTCGATCTGATCCACGATCCTACCGATCGGCCGTTCCTAGGAGTTGCACTGGCAGTCTAGATGCTTATCCTTCGAACTGGCGACGTCGCAAGTGGTGTTGTAACAGCTGTTTTTGTTTGGAAGCAGCTAATGGTCATGTGTATTTACGAAAGATTGGTTACTGGACTATATATAACAACATTGACTCCGCTTAAAAATGTAGGCTACAGATATAGATTTTAATTCATATTGTTTCGGGTTTCAATTCGTATGTTTTTTTCAATATTTTAATAAATTTATGTTCATAAATTTAAATCAATAAAGTGCAAATTAATGAGCTGATGTCACCCGTCTGCCATGTTATCTTATGGGACGTCTGTCACTGAACAACACCACTTGCGACGTTGCCAATTCTACCAGGCTGCGGCCTCTAGTTAAAGGCGGCCGTGTAAGAGCCCGCGGACCCCCGCAAGTTTGGTCGCCAGGCCCCCCCTCTATTCTCCCAATTATCTTTAAAAACATTATCTTATATATTACCGCCTAAACTTGCACTTTAGCTGGCACGGCATCTCCTGAGGCACCGAGGTGTCATAACCTCGTCTTCCATGATCGCGCCAAAATAGTGAATGCTTCCCGTAGTCATGGAAGAAAAATTCATAGTCTACCGAGATTGCAACCAAACACCTATGATATCATCAGATAACAACATCATCGTCTCCCGCGGTCACTGCCCAATCCCTAATATCTCACGCGACCCGTGGGGACGGGGAGATATTTTTTTTCGCAATCGCGGCTAAATCCAAGATGTATCTTTCACGGGAAAAGAAACATCCATATTCTCGTCTTCCGCAATAGCGGCAACATATTAAACATCGACCCCGCGGGGAAATGTCGTCGAAATCCGCGATCGTGGCAAAAGCGTAGGCTTAATCTTTCAAATTCGTGAGCGTGATCCTGCGGACATTAAAGCTGTCACTTTTAATTGGGCATTATTGTATTGAGTATGCCCACTGAGAAAATCGGCTCGAACTTGATTTTCTGACCTTTTGCTTGATCCCTCAAGCTTTGTATGCCAGGCTCTGCTCGGCTCGAAAATCTACAGTATATAAAAATCAACAGTTTCCAAAGCAATTCTAATTTGAACCTAATTTCTGATTTCGCCCGAGGCCCATAAGCAACTTTTTTACCTGACTCAAAGCATAGATAAAAGGAGTATCAAGACATACTCCTTTTATGTCTATACTCCTTTTATCTATATGCTTGAAGCAAACAAATCTAAATTGCAGCCTACTAACATTAAGAAATTAAATGAAATTAAAATCCTTCTTTAGCATCAATGAAAGAATGGAATGATTTATTAGCTATAGTTCCCTACTAGCCCATTGACTATATCTACTAGCCACCTAGGTTAATTCGCCGATTTGATCTAAAAGAAGTGTCAACCAGTTCATTTAGTTGAAGAGGAGGGCCCTCTCTGGTGTGACCCGCTGGGGGCTTGGATGATTAATGTTTTATCTTCCTAGGCCGGGGGCAACATTGGTTCTAAATACGGCCTTATATATTTTATTTTATTTTATTTTATTTTATTTTATTTACATGCTTCAATACAGTTTAAAGACCATTTACATTGAAGCAGTTCATGCACTTATAATATTATTGCTTCAGTGGGTTTCTTCTTGTCTTTTCACTTCATTTTTACTTACACTTATGGTGCCTTCACAAGTCCACAAGGACAGCTGATGCAACCTGTATGACTTATGGCAATTTTTTTACTTAGTTTGGTGGAGAATTTATATGATCGGTCAAGATTAGAGGTGGCTATGGTAATAGTCTTAGTTTACCTGTTGTAAACTACTTGTCCTAATGCTCTTATTTGTTTTAACACATTTTTGTCATAAAAAAAAACGTATGGTAATGCTCATATAAATATCGTTATGATAGGGGGCCCGTGTGGCTGAGCCTGTCGCACAATCGTGTGTCCCAGTAAAATTTCCCAAAAAATCCTGGTTAAGGCTCACGCCCCCCCCTAGCTCGCACTTTGTAGAGCTTAAAAAAATAAATATGCTAATTTAGTTTGTGGAAGAGTTGTTGTGCCTAACAACTACAGAAATAATAAAAAAATGTAAATTAAAAATTTCCATGCTGTTCTTAAGCTGTCCAGACATGCGCCATTCGCAAAGCACGAATATATTTACGTTCGGTGATCTAGTTGTCTTGCTATTCGCCGATTGACGAGTAGACGTCTACACACCTGGGTTGTTTTCCGAGCAACTGTTCGTTTTGGGAATAGCAATAACATTCGTTCACTTTGATGTGTGCAAAAATACCAACAAATTTACGGGAAAACTCGAGCACAAATCACAAATGTTTGCTGCTTACCTACCAAATAGACAAACACCAATCCACACTACTGTGATTCGGCGAGTCGCTGTTCGGTGCTTGGCGAATGACGCATGTCTTTATGGAGAATAAATATAGACCGTTGTAATTTGCTCGTTTTATGGATCTATTTCAATTAAATTTTGCAATTTAATTTATTTCATACCCATCAAGCTAAACATTTCAATAAAAAAACACACCTTATTACCTTTCCTGTAGCAGCAAAACTTAGTACTCATTAAAATTAATTGGAAATAAATCTGACAATTTTAAGAGAATATTTTTGTAGAAATCCAGCCCAAGGAAATGGAAATTCTCTTAATCTGCAGGTTTGCTGCAGCGGGTTTTTTTTAATAATATGATAATCATGACAATTCATTATCAATAACATCCGTAATAATTAATAGGTATAGTAAATAAAAAATGAATCTATTTAAGATAGATAGGTTTTGTTTGGTAAATATAGTAATACAGAATACAGTAATAGTAATAAAATATTCTGATAAGTACGTAGTCTATAGATGTTTCTTCCTTCGTTTGTTTCTTGGTGGTAGGAAGGGGTGGTCGTCTTCAAGTTCTGCTATTGCATTGCCCAGTAGAGTTCTGATGGAGCTGTTCAACACGCTGCATCTAGGCACTTTAGTAAGTCCGTGTCTAACATCGCTCAGTCTGTGGAAATGCTGAGAATGAGGCTCTTGGAGTATCTCGGAGATAGAATTCCCACTCATATCCCCAGCACCCTCAGTTAACATTGTAATTTTGGACATTTTCAGTGAATTTACTAATAATTTCAAACTGGTTATGTTATTATTAGAATTTTTTCGTTACCTGGGTTACACACAAAAATCATGTTTGATAGATTGATCAATGAAATTAGAATCCCATCATTCTAAAAATGCTAGCTTTCTTCTCTAACTAAGCTAACTAATTCCACTATAAACTGTAGGTCCCTTAGTTTGCCATTGGCTGTATGAGCTATTAACAGCTGTGTCTAAGGAATATGTCGGCTTTATTAGTCCCTAACGAGACTACAAGATCTCGCCACTCATCTCCATTCATACTTGGCTTAAAATACCTACATTTGTATGGTCGCCATTTCAAAGTAAAGTATTTAAGTTTTTACACCACTCCCTGCAGGAGACCATCTTTAAGTTGCCTAAATGTAAGTTACTTTCCCTGTGTCTGAGATATGCTTTGATTAGTCTTTTGGAGGAGTTTGAGAGACACAGAAGAAGTGAGGAAATACAAAAAAATAGTGAGGAATAAGTGAGGAAATTGTAAAATTTATGAGATGTCCTTTCCACAGTATCATGAACTGTCATATTAGATCGGTGAAAGCACCAGAGGTTTAAATTCTTATCAAACCCACATCCTCAAGTAAAAATTGTTAGAAAGTAGAGCAGTTTTGCAAGTGTATGCCAATGGTTTAGTTGTAAATTTTCCAGTGTGGGAATGCTCACCATGTTCTAAAAAAAATGATAAAAAACGTATCGAGCTGCTTTAAAGCCTACCCATGCTTCGCAACAGAAAGGGTATATGAAGTAGAAGAAACAAAACTTGATTTATTACTAAAATGTGATATTTAATTTCTTTTAATTCAGATAACGGGTTAAAATTTCCTCGGGAACCGGTATAAAAGTTACGCTGGTGCTTGTTTAAAAATAACTATATGATGTGATAGTTAAAAAAGATAAACTTGTTTAAGTGTAGACACTAAGTGAATACTAAGTGTGTTACTCCACTTTTAAGCACATGTACTTATATTTTAAGTCAAACTAAAAAATCCAAATAATACTGTTGTTGCAATAAAATCTAAATTATTACTTGATAAGAATGCTGTGTATAATATAGGGAAAAGAAGTTATACATGTATATGAGCTTAGAAATTTATTCTTAATAAATAAAGAATTCAGTTACACTTGCTTTTAAGCAACTCAACAAACATTACAAAGTTAGGCTATATACAACAATAGAAAATGTTAATCAACATAAAAAATAAACATAACAAAAGACACTTTATAAAGTGATGTTACAAAAAATGATTTAAAACATCACATGAATAGGAGAAGTCGTTGAAATAAAACAATAAAAGTATAAAGCCCTGCTAGGTAGACCTCACTTTGGTTTTTAGTGTGTTTAAATATTTATAATAATACCTCAAGACTAAACAAAACTAACCTAGGTGGATAAAAAAAGTCATGTCATCACTCATCTCTCAAAGGGACGTCAAAATATACAAATAGAACTCTTACACTAACCTATCCGACATTGCATGCTCATCATTATATACAAGATGGTAATAAATACAATCGTACTTCATCACAGTCAATAATGTTGAGATTCGACAGGTTCGAAAACAACCGATTTCAAAATGAATAAATCACTGAATAGGCGTTAGACACCTAACAAAAAAAATCAGTTAAATTAAACTGATATAAAAAATAAATCAAATACAAAATATGTTTTAGAGAATTTTTGAATGATGCTTTCCAACAGTTACACAGTCTTTGTGCTAGCATTTAGACTACTAGATCTGTACAGATTTTGTAGGTATCAGTCGTTTATGCTTTGATGGATTGTGCGATGATGTCGGCGATCTTGCTAGCGCTGTCACCCGTCAGAATCTCCCTGTGGTTACCCTTCACTGATTGGATCTCAACTTTCTGTTTGCAAATCTGTAAAAGAGCAAACAGATGAGGTTAATATGAAATTAAACCATGTAAAATTGTATATGCAATATCAGAGATACATTCATAGAATAAAGAATTATGATACAGTTTTTGTAAGTACAAATTTTGTTTTGCTTCATACTCCATTGAAGCAAAGCTTTATCTTTCAAATCATACACTCACAAAATAATATTACCCCAAACACAAATACTGGGTGTTTTGCAAGCCTAGTGGTTTATGTTTTGGACTTCAATGTGAGAGGGCTTCAATTCATGGCAGATACACAAAAATTAAGAACAATTTACCTTGAGTGTTCTTTCAAATTGCCACTGGCGGAAACACAAAATAAAAATACTATTTACTACATAGTATTTACCGGAGTGAGGCCATAGTCGGGGCCGAGTGACACGTAGTTGTCAGTGGATTTGATGAGTGTGACAGGTCCTGCGTAGGAGCCAGAGGGTTTGTATGCGTCAGCAGCCACCAGCTTCTTGTAGAAGCTCGTCGCGGCCTCGGCCAGTTCGTTCTCAGGGAAGGGAGTTGCGCCCTTCAGTAACTGAGTGGCGAGGGAAAGCCTCTTCTCCCAGGAAGGCAGAGCTTGCAGTTCCTTCTGGATCTGTAGAGAGAGATGTTGTTAGAGCAAGTAGAAGAGTGTGTTACAGTTAGAAAATAAAGCTGCTGTCATAAAATGTATTATTGTATAACTTAACTACAGCATCACAACTATACACAATATACTAATTAGTATATTTGCTGGTAGCCGATTGTGGGGTGATTGTCGAGTTATAACAAGGTCATCCTAAGAAGAGTCAAAAGCAGCATTTTGATGGTTCAAATATGGACTCAGCTATCCTTTATCTTTGAGCTTTTAATACCTGTTCCTAGCTAAAAAAATACAGCAGTTTGTAGCAAAGTTGTCATATTATCTGTTAAACTCTCATCCTCTATTAATTTACACCTTAAAATACACCACTCACAGCTCAGAGTATTTATTTGTATATATTTAAACAGCCTGTGTAGCTAAATGGTTGTAGGTTATACAGACTGTCCCAAAAGTCCCGGACTGGTTTAATATTTTCTAAACGACAACAGATAAATCAATAAGATTTGGTACATCAACACCACACCTAAAAATCTACTTTTTTAAGGAAATATAAATTTTCTGTCACATCATGGGGACGTCCCACAAGGAGTCAGAAGGAAATCTTAAATAGAAGCATAGGTTGACACGTACATCAAATTAAAGGTCTTTACTAGCAGAATATAATGCCGCAAATTTGAACTCAAACGGACAACCAAGTCAAGAATGACAGTGGTCTAAATATTCATTTAATTTGCATTTGGGGGCACAGCCCTAGGAATCGGAAAAAAATTGTTAACGTAAGCATAGGTCGATATGCACATCAAATTAAAGGTCTTCACTAGTAGATTACAATGCCGTAAATTCAAGCTCAAAAGAACGCCTGAGTAAAAAATGACAGTCGTTCAAAGATTCAAAATGGCAGGTTCAAGAAATCTTTGAACGGCTGTCATTTTTTACTCAGGTGTTCTTTTGAGCTTGAATTTACGGCATTGTAATCTACTAGTAAAGGTCTTTAATTTGATGTGCATGTCAACCTATTCTTCTATTTAAGATTTCCTTCTGACTCCTTGCGGGACGTCCCCATGATATGACAGAAAATTGATAGTTCCTTAAAAAAGTAGATTTTTAAGTGTGGTGTTGATGTGCAAAATCTTATTGATTTATCTGTTGTTGTTAAGAAAATATTAAACCGGTCCGGGACTTTTGGGACAGTCTGTATAGTGGAATAGTGATAGACTGCAAATCTGAATGTTTCTGGATCAATCCAAAGTGAATCCAATTTTTTGACTCAGATTCAATTTGTAGTTGGGATAACTATCAGTTAGTGATGCCAGCCAACAGAAGGTTGAGTTTAAATAAACAGACAAGGGACAGAACATTTTTATAAGTAAAAATTCCAACTCGACACACAATATAAAAATTACATAAATGAAACTAGAAAAATAAATCAAGTACTCTACACACCTTAATGAAATCAACGTCGTCCTTGAACAGAGAGATGAAGTATGTGAGAGCGTCAGCATCGGCATTCTTGTTGTCGGGTTTCTGTCTTGCCTTGTAGTTTCCAGTGTGTGCCGCGACGTAGGTGGGGGATCCATCAAGCAGGACCAGCTTCACCTTCTCCTTAGCGGCTTCCAGGAGCAGCGCCATCTCAAAAGCAACACACGCTCCAAACGAGTAACCAGACAGCAGGTACGGGCCGGACTTCTGCACTGACTTGACTTGCTGTATACAAACGTAAGGGTTAATGAATGCAGTGGAGTAAAAAAGTTAAATCAATTTATGTATTGTTTAACAAACTAATCCAAATGGGGCATCATACAAGTATGTTTCATTGTTATAATATTGATATGGGCTTAATTTTTGGCTTTAGAGGTGGTTGCTTAGAATGTGCTTTTTAAACTCCTCACCTTATAAATTTTAAAAATTAAAATAATTTTGTTGGCATAGGCTAATTAGGTAGTTATTGTAGTGAAAATTTATAGTAAATCGGTGGATTATTTCTGTGTAAACTGGATTATTGCTTAGTAAGAATGAGTATTGTGCTAGTGTTTCTATTTCAAACATTTTCATTTTATTATAAAAATTGCTTATTAAACACATTTTAAAGAAAACATCAAATGTAGATACTCCATTATTAACCGCTTTGTTTTAAGAGTTTACAGTTTTATTTCAAGTCCACATGTTGCTACAAACTCTAATTTTGAGCTAATACTTTTTACAAATAGTTGTAAAACGATTTTCTGATAAAAAGAATATTAATATTCAAAACCAAGAACAAACCACCAGTTAAATTAAATTTGACCCGTGAAAATATTTCTTGCACCTCAGAACAGAAGGTTTGCGTAGCTTAGGTTTACATCAATAAAGACTTGTGTTGAAATATGTCTCAGAATAAAAAAACTTTTAAAAGAAGTACCTGAAGGTAGAATGCGGCCAGTTTCTGAATGGATTCTAGAGGAGCCTTGGTTGTGCACTGTAGACCGTAGACAGGGCAAGGTAGTTCGGCAGCCAGGGACTTAAGGGCGCTGACAACACCTTCAATGGGGTGAACGATAAAAACGGGGTTACCACTGGACGACTTGGACGGCAACTGGATGATAGTCTCCTTGGGAACCAGCTCAGCTTGGAACTGGACCTGTGAAAATCCAATCAATACAATTAAAAACTACCTTAAGGAGCAGTATTGAAACAAAACGCTCCATCATTATTATTTAATTTAATTTTAATATCTTCATAAAGTTTGAGAATATTATGATTGTTGATCAAATTGATAATAGTCGACAGTCTTTTCTGATTTGTTTTTAATGTGGAAGTTTTTGTTGGATAAAGAACTGTTCAAATTCTAGTCTTAATGGTATCAACCTGATGTTAGAAACCTCGTAGTTAGGACACCATACATGCCTTTGATTACAATTTTGCAAATGTAAACTAGGATTTTAAACTGTAAACAAATGATTAATCAAATCCAGACCTGGGTAGTGTCCTTGGCTGAAGCGTCTGTGCCGTTAGTTTCCTTGGTATCTCCTGCTCCGCTGCCTCCCGCCAGTTCTCCTAGCTTGCCGAAGGTCAGGCCTCGGATCTCCTGGGCACTCAGGACCAGGTCGTAGTTTCTCTCCAGCGTCTGCTTGATCTCAGCACCCATGAGGGAGTCCATACCCAGGTCTGCCAAGGTGTTAGCTGCATTCACTGTCGACACATCCTTGATACCTGGAACATAAAATTAATTTTTATTTACATTCTGACAAAATATATTCTTTTACTAAGCATACTGAAAAAATACTACTTCTACTCTCTATGTACTTCTGTCTACTCTCTGAAGAAGACCTCAAATATAAGCAAAATGTTATGTGGCCTTTTATTGTTAATCTACAAACCCCTGGACTTAATTTTTCTTAGGTAAGCTAGCTAAACACTATCCCTATCCAAAAGTTTCTTGCAATAAATGCAGAATGGCTAAGACTTACAACTGTGGCCTTTTATTGTTAATCTACAAGCCCCTGGACTTAATTTTTCTTAGGTAAGCTAGCTAAACACTATCCCTATCCAAAAGTTTCTTGCAATAAATGCAGAATGGCTAAGACTACAACTAAACACAAAAGATGTTCAAACCCAGACTCACCAAGGATGTTTCCGACCGCCTCCAGTAGTCCAACCTGGTTGGATTCTCCTCCGGCTCTCCTCTTCTCAGCCAGCACCAAGGAGGCCAGGACAGCATGAGGCTGTTGCAGGAACTTGTCCATGGTCGCCAGACAAGAGGACATCCTCTGCGGCAGAGTGCCTCCCACGACAGTCTCGTTGTCACCCATTGTCTCCAGGATCAAACCGACGTCACCAATGGCTCCCCACTGGATGGCAATCTACGCAACATCAGAGTGGTTAAAAAAAGAGTTTAAAGCTAGTGTTGGTTTTTGGGATGAGTTTACTGAGGGTTTGTGGATGTGGTTTTTGTTGTGAACTGTAACATAAACTGAAAATATAAATGTCATGAAAGTACAAGAAAATTTAATATTAGCTATGGATTGGGTGTTGCTTCAAATTTTGATTGTAGGGATGAGTCAACCGTGAAATACTTAAAAACGCTTTAGAATAACCTAGAATGTTTCAAATATACAGGACAGGCTAACTTTTTATCTTGATTTCTTGTATTTAACATAAATACATTTTTGGGTTAATCTTTAGTTTTTATTAATGAAGGATTTGTTTGCGAAATGTGTGTAATTTTTACCACAGGTTGCCATTTTTCAAGGAACTTTAATTCCTCTTTCTCTTTTGCTACGAACCAATATCATTAATTTAAAATCTAAAAATATAATCGGCTAAAGGTTTGGTAAACTTACTCCAGGGAGTCCAGCAGCCTGTCTGGCTTCACAGATGCGTTCCATGGCGCTGTTAGCCAGACCGTAGTTAGCCTGACCAGCGTTACCACGCCCACAAGATACTGAGGAGAAGGCAACAAAGTAGTCCAATACTGGGCAGAGTTTGCGAGAAGCTGTGTCCAGCATCTTGGTTCCATCCACCTTGGGTTTGCATACTGTCGCGAAATCAGCTGCACTCTGGTTCTCCATGAATGCGTCCCTCAGCACCTAGAAAAGAATTTAATTAGCTTCCAGTATTTGGGGTAGGGTTTTAACAACTGTGATAAGTTTGCTTTCAAGGGTAAGAACAACACAAAAACAACAAACAACAGTATTCCTGAGCCTTCCACAATGACACTCATTATATATCTAAATAACTGATCATTTATCAACAGAATTTCAAACTATAAATTCAACAAAAAAAACTTATAGAAAGATTTTATTAACTGTCTTTACAAGACCATGTAAAAAAAAGAACAATCAAGATTCCACTGCAATGAAACTAGATGGTTTTATATTTCAAGAACCTCTTTTATATTTTGGCATACATTAAACTAACAAAAAAACTGTCTAATAAACTGAATGGGGGCTTAAGAGAGGATGGGAGATAAATCTTGTAAAGTATTGTTTTCATTGCTTAAATATTCTATTCTTTGATCAGAAAACTGTGATTTGTAGCGAGGGCAAACAAACGTCAGCATATACCACTTACCGACTTACTACTTTACTGCCTCATTACTTGTAACAGTGACTCACCACAGCCAAGTTGAAGATGCCGCCGACGGGGCCGAGTTTGCTGGCCTCGTTGATCAGCTGTTGAGCGCCGGCGAGGCTGGTAACATCTGCTGTAGACACAAACACCTGCACACCCTGCTCTCTCCAGCGTCGGACGCACAGTGACTGATAACCAGTCTTGATACCACTACGAGAGGTCAGCACGATCTTCTTGGCTCCTCTGAAGATCATCCAGTTGGCCAACTCCAGACCGAAACCACCCAGACCACCTGCACGGAGATTAGATTAGATTTGTTTAGTCATGTCACTGACTCGCCAAGGTGCATATTTTAAGGCAAAGATGAGATGTCGTCATACAAAATCCCACAAAGCTGTTGGAATATCCTTATGTCAATACTACTATTGGTTTAAAAAATGCATTAAAAATATGTTAAAGACCATTTTTAATTTTGGGACGGAATTAGCTATTGCATGTTGGGACAAATTTGTCAAGTCTTTTAATAGTCCAATATAAATAAAATGTTGACACTAACCAGCCAAGATGTATGACTTCTCAGGGTTCATGTACGTTCTGGGGATAGCAGTGACGGGCTTAGGCTTGGGCACGAGGTTCTTCTGGGGTTCTTCATCTCTGATCTTCAACACGACTTTACCAATGTGCTTTCCAGTGGCCATGTAACGGAATCCTTGTTCAACCTGTTGAAGTAAAAGATCAATTATTGCATCAGCTGTTCTTTGTAGCAAATTGTTTTATAGTTTGCTTGTTTATGGATGTATTTTGTTCCATCAAACTTGGCAAACTTATTTATTTTTCAAAATTTTACTAAAAAACATATTTTATTAACCTCCCTGTAGCAGCACACTTAAGTACTCCTTAAACCTAATGATATTTAAATAAGGAAAAAATCTTACATGTTTAAAGGAATATTTAAGTGAAATTCCAATCAGGCAAATGAAAATGAGTCGCTTAGCAGGTTAGCTTTAGCAGGGGTATTTTATACTATGATGTAAAATAATTTCCTTATGAACATTTTATATTCTTAAAAAAGTTCTTTAATGCTTCAATTTGACAAAAATAACCTAGAGGAGTTTTCACATCATGAAATCTTAATGAATTAGATTACCTGGTTCTCGGAGAACACTGTGCATGGCAGGGGTCTAACTGCGCCATTCTTAATTCCCTCGGTAACTAGACGAACAACTTCCTTCTTGTCTTCGTTTTCACTTCCAGCATCGAACAGAGCATCCAGAAGGATACCGTGGAAGGTGGTGTTCTTCAGGAAGAAGGACATACCTGAGACAAAGTATTTACATTAGAATATTTCTTTTTGAATGTTAGTATTTCTAGTAGAATGTAGTATTTTTAAATTTTTTTTATTGTGTTTGAATATTGTTTTAAGTTGTATCAAGAGACCCAGTTGTTTAAAAGTAGATTCTATGATTAGATTTTACTCTTATATACTTGTTATACTATCCACATAAGAAACACACATCAATTAATTGTTAAAATTAGTCACTAGATTTTTATAATTGAGCAAACCACTTCTTATGGTCAAATATTGGGCCTTTCCCAAGAAAACAGAAACTATGTGAAATATTTACAAACTTCAATTCAATTTAGGTCTAATGACGTAGTTTTATGTTTTATGAACTTACAATAGTAGATAAAATGCCTATGTTTAAAATAGTATGGCGCATAGCCTACATACTTTGCTGAAGAGGTTGTTAAAATAGAAAAAATGATAAATCGTCAACATGCCTACATTTTTAATCTAAAAAGTCGGATTAAAAAATAATACAAGATAACTGACCCTTTTAAAGCAATGATACATGATTCAAGAGATATTATTTAATAGCTGAAGTATATACAATACTAGATGGTCTACTAGAAGATCACTTTTGTTTTTCATACTAAAATATTTTACACATTACTAACCAAGGGCAGTGTTCTGGGACAGATCGAGCTTTCCAATCTCAAGGAATCGTCCATCCTTGGCAAGACAACGCACAGATGCCTGCAGCATCTCATGAGCGAGAGAGTTGAGTACGATGTCGACTCCTCGGCCTCCCGTCTCTCTGAGAACGTGTTGTTCAAAACTGGTGTCACGAGAATTGGCAATGTTTTTGTCAGTCAGCTGAAATAAATTGTCAGAGTTTATTTATCGTGTAAAGTAAACAAGATTTTGGTCTCATTTCAGTTTTTGGCGGCATACACAATTTTTTACTTAGCACAAATATTATAGTAGTTTCTTAGTTTGCAATATGAAAATTAACTGGGACCAGTTAACTCTAGTTTGTTAAACACTACAGTACCATATTTAACAAAAGAATTGCATTTTTTATTAACATACCAAATTAATACACAACTGGACATATTTTAACGTCTAACAAAAAAAAAAAAGAAAGTGAAGTGTGATTATTGTAGAATGGAGTGAAAAAAAGACACTTTTTCTCAATATATTTTATAATGAAAAAACTTAACAATGGTTGAAATATAAAAGTTTCTGGTGAAGTGACACAACATACAACACATTCACCTGGAAGTGGAGCAAATAAAATATTTTTCAACTGTCCAAACCATTAAATAGCTTTTGAATATGCCAGAAATCGAACTTTTCCATCTCACACCAAAGTCCGAGAAGCTGAGCACTAGGCCAGCAACACAGCCATGTTGCTAAGACTCAAACCTACTTCTTTGTGTCAGATATTTACCTGAGGGAAGGTCTTCTTGAGGAAGTCTCTCTTCTCCTTGCTGCCGACGGTGGTGAACACTGTGCAGCCCATGTGGAGAGCAATGGCGATGGCGGCCTGGCCGACTCCACCAGTACCAGCGTGGACGAGCAGACTATCACCACGCTTCATCTTGCCTCTGACTACCAGCGCATAGTAACTCTACATGGCACAAACATGTCAACGTTAATAGTTTAAAGCAAGAAATGAAATTAATTTTCAAAGTGAGTGTTATAGTATTGTCTATACATCTACAAACACCTTGCTCAACCCCCTGGTCACATAACACAGAAGAGTTTTGGAACTCAGTATAAGGATCAGTCATGAGGAGTGTTGAAAGTAAAACAGAACAGGTATGATGGGTGCTCTAGCGGTAGCAGTGCTAGATAGAGAGAGAATGTGTGACATAGAACGCAGATCAACCCTGGTGTAATCTACCCACAGATCAACTCAACCGCAATGTCCTAGATTTTGACCTACATTACTGTCTACCAATAGAGATAGGATGTCTTGTGTGGATGTTTAGTCAATGATACTATATCTGTGACATCAAAACCCCACTAGGGATTGAGGTTTGTAATATGAACATAGAGTATTGATTGCTAGAGTTCACTGATCTGATTGTGCTCAAGTGGTTTATCTGTGTGCTTAGTTAGAGAATCAATATTTCCAATACAGAAGTATTACTAGAATCAACTTAGGATCTGAATCAATTTGTACGTAAAATATTACACATTGTCATGAAATCAGAGTTAGCTAAAATGGGAAAAATGAGTTATAGCTATTTACATCTAAAAATGAAATCTCAACACCCAACTACACAAAATGATTATTTAAAACTTACGGTGGCGTAGACCACAGGGATGGTAGAAGCCTGTTCCAGAGTCCATTTTTCAGGAACCTCCCACAAGAAGCCAGGATCAGCCAGGACAGTAGAGGCGAGACCTCGAGCTGCCACCATACCCATCACTCTGCGACCGGTGGTGTCTCTACCCGTGAACTCCAGACCCAGGATACAGTCCTGCCAACATACATGTTACTGTCACTAGATGTATCAAAAATAATTTTCTCAAGATATTGCATACGAGGATTTTTGTAGATGGGATTAATTTCAATTTAAATTGGGCTAGAACCAACATAAGTAACTACAGTAGACCCCCTCTTAACCGACCTTGTATTAACCGATAATCGGATTATCCGCCTTCGATTGTAAAATAATACAGTTTGTTTTAACCGACCTTGCTTTGAGAGCAGTTCGGTTTAACCGCCGCTTTCTAGGAATCTCGACATTTCCGCTCCCACGCTGGGCGATGAGAACTGAACCATACGCTTATATCCACAGGATATGACTAACAATAAGTTATTTTGTATTGATCACAAAAAATACAGCATAGCCTATTGTCAGTTTGTCATCATCGTTCGGCTCAAACACATCTGATCTGATTTGTTATTTGTGCGGCAAATTTATAGCATCATAAAGTGCATTACGATTTTGAGAACTGATTATCTTATCGCTGGAGTGAACAAACAACGCAACTTATAGGGAGGACGGGGAAGGGGGGTAACAACTCCAAGGTCAAGATAGTTTTTGTGCCTCGAGCCTCCAGTGAGAGGCTATATATAAACATCCTGTCTTGTAACAAAATGGTTGCTTGTATCTTTAATTTTGACTAAAGGTACTGTACTGTATTACTATGGATTTGGGAAGGATCAATTAATACATTACAGTACTAAAGTTATTAAAATAGGAATTTTATTACTCTTGCCTAGTATTATAATATATTACACTGAAAGTAGGCCTATTTGACTTAACGGTGTTTTGTGTTTATTTGTGACTTCTATCAAAACGAAAAAGGAGGTAAGAGTAGTTTATTTTATAAATAATGCAAGTATGACTTAAAAATAATCTATATCTATAAAAGAGGAAGTTTGTATGTATATATATATATATATATATATATATATATATATATATATATATATATATGTTTGAACGTTATGGACTCCGAAACCGCTCGACAGATTGTAATGAAACTTTCAGGAATTATTAAGCATCTTTCAAGGATGGTTTTTGTGAAGTTTGGTGCAGAACCGTCAAAAGGGCTCCGCCCCAGAGGGTTTTAAGTGGGACAATGTCAGACTTTTTGAACTACAATGTTTACAAATAAATCTATATAATTAATACGCTACACGAAAGTTTGTCGGTTGAACTCCTCCGCCATTTCTTAACCGATTTTATCCATTGACGTCTCATTGGAAAGAGCGTGTCGCGTAGATTTGCAAACTGGCCTTACATTTTTGAAAAAGTCCCTTGGGCTCTGCCCCATTGGCTTTGAAAGTTCCCATGTTATCCTTATGAAGAACATAATTGTTTACATTTTGATCAGCTGTATAATTTTATTGCTGTTATTTACTTTTTAATTCAATGAAACACATTGAGTACATTTATTTACTATTTGAGTTTGTGTAAACATAACCCCCAAGACGGATCGTGTTAGTATGGTTGTATCTTAAATTTGTGCATTTATCGTTGTTTTGTGTAGCTATAATTTGTTTATTATTTGTTGTTTATTCCTTTTAAATGTCTCTGACGCAACGTGTATTTATCGTTGTTTTGTGTCGCTATGATGGATTGTGTTAGCATGATTGTAACTTAAATTTGTGCATTTATCGTTGTTTTGTGTAGCTATAATTTGTTTATTATTTGTTGTTTATTCCTTTTAAATGTCTCTGACGCAACGACAACGAAACATAGACAGGAAGCGCAATCGTGATAACGACCGCAGCTACAGAACAGTGGCGCGTAATAGGCTTAACTCATCACAGTCTGAACCTGAACCTGGACACTATTAGGTTACAAATGCGCCCTAACACTACCCCAAAACGACTTTTCGTTCTAAATTGGCCCTCTATTAATGACCTGTGTTGCCTGGACAGCGAGGCATTTTGAGAAGGAGAGAACCGTCCGGAATGCTTTAGGTTTATCAATAACGAAGATAAACAGGGTCTGAGTTACACAACGGTAATATTTGAGTTGATCTTTTAAACTCATTGTAAATATGACTGTTATTCAATCTTAAATAACTCCTGTAATACTTTGTTATTGCTCGAATTCGAGCAACATGTACACTAGTATAATTTAAAAGCAGATGTTTTCTTTCACCAACTGTTTTGTAGGTTTGAATAATCACAACGTTCTGTATTAGTCATGATTTGAAATAGTGCCACAATGTTTCTACAGAGTGCAGCACAGAAAACTATTTTACTTTTGAATAAGTCCAAATATATTAAACACCAATCGCAGCACACCTGTGCACTCAACAACGTTTAAATTCTCCAATGTTGAATATGTAAACATAAAAACCTTGATTAAAGTATTATAAACAATAAAAGGGATGGTAATGCCTTAATATTTTTATCTTTTGTTCTATACCCACACAATCTAACATAAATTATTAAGTGAATAATAATCGTGCGTGCTATCTCAGGTATTCAAATGCCATTACTGGCATTAAAAGAAGGAACTCCATTAATACTAATGCGAAACTTAAATCCACTTAAAAGGAGAAATAGTCTTAATCCCAAGAATACTGATGACTTCATCCAAATTACCCTCTGAATTGAAGCAACTACAATTTCCTTTTTTTGTCTTTCTTTCCCAATCACCATTATAAGGCACTAGGGCAAACCCTGACTATCGTCGGTTTAAATTTTGAAAATGCATGCTTTTCACACGGACAGCTGTATGTTGCGTGCTCACGTGGTGGTAGGTACGTCTAAAAACTTATAGAAAAAACAAAAAAAAATTGTTTAGGCCCTATTCACTGGCAATTAAGTAAAATATTCTATTTTTATTTTTGGTACACACTTTTATTATTCATCGTAAAGAACAAATTACCATTTACAATAATAGTTGTTAAGCGCAGCAACGCGCGCCGGGTAACTACTAGTGATTATATAATTCCAAATGAATAGCACTTCATTATGTTATGATTTTAGGGATTGCCCGTTTTAACCGGCCTTTTGAGTTATCCGACCTAGGTCCGGTCCCATTAGGGTCGGTTAAGAGGGGGTCTACTGTATTGCGTTATTTTATTTCACAAACTATTGTCTAACCTGGCCAGCCAAATCACCGGGAAGCGCGTCGGGTGGCAGTTTACCAGTGGCCAACATGATGTCACGGAAGTTGAGAGGAGCGTAGTAGACAGTGCACATCTCTGCATTGGGGAAGTCTTCTTTCCTAAAACATTGAAAATTGCTCTTTGAGAAGTTCATATACTCAGAGGATTTTTTCCACCATCAATATACTTTCTTAAAAAGTTATACTGTAATTTAATAGCCTAAACACAATATCACAGATACTACAGAATGTATAGCTTGATGAACTTTGAAACACGGCTTCCTTACAGATTGTGGGTACTAAGAAATGGTTTCTGATACTTAGTGAAAACTCTGCCCCACAGGCTTTCAAAGTTTCCTTGTTATCTTCATCCAGGTGAAATTCTATCACCAAGTAAAGTGCTTTGGCAGATATCAACTAGGCAATAGGGATACCACCCACATACAGAACCTCAACAGAAACTCAACAGCAAATCAATTTTGCTAAGGAATTGGGGTACTCTAAGAAACTCTGAAGTCAGGATGAGAGGGTACAATAGATATTCAAGGCCATCAGTGGTGATGATGATGACATCAGACACATCATTTACAGCATTTCTGTTGTGTGGGGAAAACAAATGGCCAATAAATGTAACATGTGACATGGCAAAAGTCGCCTAACTCACTTGTAGAAGGTGAGAGGTCCTTCGATCCACTTGAGACTGGAGAGGTCTCCACGAGTGATGGCGTTGATGTAGGCGTGTTCCACCTGCAGAGTGGCGTCTTCAGAGTCCAGCTGGAGGTGGCGCATAGTGCCCCACACACCGGCGCGCAACACATTCTGCACCAGACCTTTGCGCAGCTGCGCGGCGTACTGGGGCGACGACAGTGAGAATGCCGCAGCCTTCGGGTCTTGGATGAAGACAGCCCTGAACAGCATTTCAGATTAGCTTACAATTCATAGCTAGATTTGAGTTGTCAAAACTTAAGAGTAAACAAATTATCTTTGTCTAAGATTAGTTTAAAACTTATGATTCAATTTGAGTTGTGAACCGAATAAGTCGCGACACACAGGTTAGGGTAACAGATAGCCTTAACATAAAAATCTGTTGGTAGGGTCATGGTAAACATTAGTTACTGCGAAAATTCAATCGTAAAGGCCATAGGGTCAAAGTTTAAATTTTTATTTCTCGAGGTGGGCGATGATGAGTCTATTGTAGGCGTACTTGGTTTCCGCAGACTGAGCTTAAACCTCAAGATATATAGGGAAATCAAGATTTAGACTAACTTTAGACCCCTTGATAGTTAGTTACCCATACCCTGAACTATCTGGATAAATTAGTAGAAATCTAAATTTATTGTTAAGGGTAAAAATCCCTCACAGCTTTGGGAGGTTGGGTAACAAATTGTGACAGCCACTAATATTTTATCTTTCTTAGTCTACGAGGGTTGAATGGCTATTATGACAGGTAAAATAATAACATAGGAGCTAGGACCAGCTAGAAGTAATTTATATGGCCCTGGTTCAGATTTGAACTGGCTCAGTGATTGGAGCTCGTTTGGGACTTGATTCTATAAACTCTAGTATATCTTTAGTTATTTTTAACATATTTATCATCATTCTAGTGAATGTTTACCAGCTTACCTGGCATTGTTGCCGCCTGGCTCTTGTTTGATACAGTTCATCATGCCAACCAGACCCAGGGTCTCTTCTCCCTGACCAACCAGCAGAATGTGCTTGCCTTCAGCCTCTGATGCCTTCAGTGCCTCCTTCAATGGCTCCACCCAGCTGAAGTTCTTCTCAGTCACGTTGATCACAACCGGGGTCGGCAGTTCTACCAACTGAAAAAATTCACAACATTTTCAATTTGAGAAGAGGTTACACTGAAGAGCATCTAACGTTTTTATAATGTTTGTACTGAATTATTGATGAGTTGCTATGCAAGATTTTTTTTATTGGTACTTTGAAGGGTATTTTTTTTAACACATTCAATAGACGAATTAAAGCTTTTACCTTGCGAAGCAGGATGTAAGCTCTTCTTTCAGCCTTGATTCTGGACACAATCTCAAGGCCAGGGACTTTCACAGCAGGCTCGACAACTTCTGGGCTCTCCTCTAGCAGCACGAAGCCACCAGCCTTGACACTGTCGGCCAAATTGGCTAGGTTAGGGCTGCTGGACAGGTCTGCTCCAACGGCCAGATGGACATTGGACTCAATAGGTCCAGCAGAGATGTCCTTCTTGACGGACTTGGCGCCAGTGGGCTCAATGATGGGGTTGTAGAGCTCAGGAGCACCAGACACTACGGAGTACTCAACCTGGGGATGAATTGTAATGTAGTTATAGAGAATGATTTGCCATTAAAGGGTGTGATGAGTAAATAAAATCTTTATTTTGAATTATTAGGAAGAGAGTGTGATAAATTGTGGAATAAATTGGATGAGTGGATAAATTGTGTATTTCACTTCTTTAAATAAAAAAATAAATATATGTTTCCTAAAAAAATATTTATGTTAATCTTTTAGTATTCCTACACCAGAGACATTTCATACAGTTTCATTCAATAAAATAACTCTTTTATATAAATCTTTTGTAAGGAAGTATAACCAATCATTAGCTCAATGACAAATGTCAACTAGGATCAGAACTGGTTCTTAAGCACTTCATTCGGATTAAGGCTCTGACGGATATGATGGCTTGATGGAAGACAAAACACAGAACAAGTCAGAGGTAAGACAGAAAGGATAAAATCTTAATTTGTTTTAAATCTTAAGTAACCATACTTAACATTCTCAAACAACACTTACACTGAGCATAGGTTCAGCTTCCAGAATGTCAATGATCTGAGGAGCCAGGATGTTCTCAGGAACTCGGTCAGTTCCGAGTTCAACCACCTTGAGCTTGAGAGCGCCAGCCGAGTTCTCCAAAGCGAGTTGTAGCAGGCTAGTCAGAGCGTACTGGGTTGGGAGAGGCTGTAAAATATTTGTAAGTCATTTTACTATTTTTCTTGGTATTCTTACTTCAGTACTTACTTACTTAATACTAGATTTAGGTACCAGTACCCTGTAATGTAAGTTAAGTTGAGATTTTAACATTTAAGAAATATAAATGACACTGTTCAAAATGTTACACGGTACTCATAACACGAATAAAAATATTTAAAGAGAATTGATTCAAAGAATATGACAGGAATATTATTTTTGTTAAACATACATGTAAAAATATCTAATGTGAAATATTTAGTAGAAATCAAAAACTAAATGGTGTATGAAATCGAGATTGTGTCAATGGTAGGAAGGGTAGTGCTTGAAACAGAAAACTTTCCTACCACTCTTCCCCTTCTCTGAATACTAATATTAAATTAGATCTAACAGTGTTTTTTGAGATGACGGTTCAAAATAACATGAGCTATGGTGGTAAAGGGAAACTAATGGTCGTCCTGCTCGCCTCTCAAAATGATTCCATATTTACCTTGTCACCAGTGAGAGGCACGAAGGTATACTGCTCCAGTTTAGGTGGGGCTTGTGTTTGTTGACGACGGGGCGCGAGGGAGGCCTTCATGCCCCGCAATTCTACTCCACCAGACTTGATGATATCGATGTCACGGTACATGTAGACAGGCAGGGACTTGTCTGGACAAACATATGACGTTAGTCTTTGTTGATACTACATAGACTGTGAATAGACTCATTGCCAGTATCACTCTGAAAAAATCTCTAAATTACGTTGAAAAGTACAAGTTTACCTCACACCTACTGCTTCATTAATTATTTCAAGCAAACATGGGCGCCCACATGGGTTTTGTTCAGGGGAGCGAACCAGTATCTTGCACTAGAGAACGGAGGAAAAGGCCCTCCTCCACAAACAAGTTAGTGTAAAATGCTTTAAAACATGATTGTTTGTTGTCTAAAATCCAAAATTATATTAGTTTAAAATTAAAACGAACTTAGTCTATTTATTTTGTCACCAAAATCTGTTTAAACCTTTAAGTTAAGAGCAAAAAAAAAATTCAGATTTAGATATTTTTGTTAGGATCCGTAGCTTCCAAGGCCCCCCCCCCTTTGGGTGCCCATGGATATAAGAGAAGCATCCTTACTCCGCTTTATATACTACAACTGTTGCATGCTGGACTTTGAACCTCAATAATTTTTGTTGAGCTGATTAATTAAATTAATTGTAAGGATTCAATTCACCGACCAAACTGAAAATTGTTTTCTTATTTTGAATAAAGATATATTATCACACTCAAAGACATCAAAAGGTTTTTTTACTTACTACCAACACTTACTATAAAGTGTCTGCATGTCTTTTAGTATTTAAAATGAAAAATTAACCTATTACATAGAGGATCTAATAAGTCCTTATAATTTTAAAGAATCACAGTGCAAATAACTTAATTTTACGTCAAACAAGTCGACTTACTCTCTCCAAGCTGTTCCACGATCTGCTTTTGTTTGCGAGGGTCAATGCAGACACGCTGCATACGGGTGGGCAAGTAAAGTTCTCGGGTGTTGAGACCCAAGATGGAGAACTGAAGCATGGTGTCGATGAATGAGATCCAGTTACCGATCCAGTCCAGCTTACCAGTGACACCTGCAAAATGTCGGTTGGTTAAAAGCTTATCATTTAAATAGAAATATCATTTGTTCACAGCAACCAACTACAGTAAAAATAAGGTAAGACTGCTCACACAGGGAAGGAGATAAATATAAAGTATAAGGCCATGCCATTGTGTAATTATGGCTAATATTGGTTTTAAAAATTTTGGTTTTTACTGTCTGATACTGCCCAAATAGTTTTTAACCAATTTTTTTATTATGGTGTTGTCGGTTTATCAACAAAAATAATATACAAAAAACTTATCAAAACCTTAACTCCAGTAATTGTTAAACGTACCCTTGTTATCAGCCTGTGAGACGCCGCGGAACACTCCGGTGTAGTCGTAACCTCTCAGACGCAGGTCCTTGTAGATGTCGGCTCTTTCTAGATCCAGGAAGTCTCCCTGAGGTTTGGGTGGTGGGGGGAGAGTCAGCTGTTCCTTCTCTACATCCTCCGGAAGTCTGACACGTCCTGATACGGCAACGCTTCCTCCCTCCACAAGTTCAAAGTCTCCCGTTCCATCAAAGATGTTGATCAGGAACTTGACAGATCCTGCACAGTAGATAATAGTTACTGTTAAAGAAGTGTTTATTTTGAAATGTTAAAAATATAGTGAACCAGGAGAACAAAGACTTCGGAATGAAGCATTGATTATAAATCAGCAATTTTTTTCAAACCATATTAGAATTTTACATTTCTGCTGCCATTATTATGTAGCTTAGATAGGTGCCTGCCACAAACCGCCATGGAATTAGTAGCGCTAGAATATTTATATTTGTAAAAAGAAAAAGAAAAAAAAATGTTAATTTTGTTTGTTACATTTTTGTGAATCAGTTGGACCTCGCCGACAAGTTTTGCAAACTTGGCGAGGCCAGATTTTGTATTATCACAAATAAATAAATTTGAATTTGAATTTGAATTTGAATAGTAAAATACAATTTACATTTACAGTGCTTTTAATAATGATTAATGTCAATATTAACAAAAACTGTTTTACTGCGAAAGAAAAATGTTACACCGTAGCATTACAAGTTGTAAAAATGTGATAAGTACAAAGAACAATCAAATGTTAACCGCACAATAATGCTACGCCATTGTACTTGTAACTAATGAAATACAAACCCACCTTCCTTGGGCATGATAGTGGCACGGTGGAATTGCACATTTTCCAAGATAACTGGCGTGTCTTCGTAGTCTTTGCCTTGTAGTTTGGCAAAGGTCTTCCACACCAGGGTCTGATAAAATAAAAAAATAATAAAAATACTCAATTAAAGTACTGATCATTCAATAAAACAACAGAAGGCAGGATATTTCAGTTGATATTTTTTAGAGTTGCAATACATGACTGAATGTTAATTTAATGAAAAGCAGAAAATATATCATATTCATAACCTAACATTGAACACAGATTAAAATTTACTAATTAAGTTAATTAAGCCTAATTACGGTTAAAACCCTTACCAGATAGCCAGTAGCAGGGAAGAGAACCCTTCCGTCGATCGCGTGGCCGGCTAAGAAGGCATCAGCTTCCTTAGTTAGATCAATTTCAATCACACTCTCACCAGATCGGCCACCACCCTGGAAACAAAAGGAGATCATTATGTAACCGTCTAACAGGCTAGAGTACCCTGAAGTTTACAGTTGTTTAGATTTCTTTGATAACCTAGATGGTAAAAAATGTATTTTGTAACAGATAATACTTCAAAACAAAACCACTATTATTTTTCTACGTTTGTTTAGTATTTAATTACATTAAGCGGGAATACTTAATACAAGAGAATCACAAAAACCAGGCCCTAGACGTCAATAATTCTCACTAACTTGACAGCAAAAAATATCGACAAACTTTTGAGACAAGTAATGTATACCACTTCTCACCTTTCCAGAGAAGTCAGCCACCTCCCACTCGTTGGAATGGTCCCACTCCACCATGGAAGCCAACATGGGAGTGCTGCGAGACACGGGGAAGGATACGGGAGGGTACAGGTTCTGGAACTTGGGCTGGGCTCCGGCGTTGTACACCCTGAAAGAAAATAATATTCAGTGCTTCTGGAGTAGTTTCCATATTCAGTATACCTAAAATACAGAGCTTGATTTGTGGAGGAACGCAGCGGAACAGAGTTCCAGTACCTCTCTTTCAGAAAGATAAAAATGTTGGCATAAAAACTAAATAGGTACAAATCACATAAAATAGGTTATAGCCAGGAACCTCATTTTTTACAAATCGAGCACTGCTAAAATATGTTTACACGTGGTATGTATATTATGTATTGTATGATGGGATAAAGTCCTGGGAAAAATTAGATTCAGTAAAAACTTTAATGTATGTGTTGGGATTGAAGCTGTATATTACAATTAATATCTCTAATGTGATAGCCTGCAGATTAACACCTTGCCTACCAGCCGACACACTCCTCTGTATGAGGGGAATCGTGAGACCTGGTAGTGAATGTGTTAATTTATTATTAATTAAAACCTGGCTTTTGCAGCAAGTTAGGTTTATAAAATGTTGTAAGATTTGGTGATAAAAAAAATAAATAAAAAATAAATAAAAATTATTAGGTGCATGCACAGAGCACGGTCCTAGAAACACGGTCTATCTTTAAACATGTAATGAAGCAGTCAAGTAATCACTCTAGAAATCCTATAAGCCAGCTTTAATTGATATCTGACGAGGAAAAAATTGTGTGACTCCATCCACAGCTGCCAAAAGTGTGTAAAACCTTGTTTTAACTCTCAGTTTTAACTTCACTCCAAGGAATATTCCAAAAAATGTTATAAACGTGAACGTGACAACAATTTTCAACGCACAAGTACTAAAGTTTGTAATTAGTACAATTGAATTAGTACAGTCACTATATTAAGTTTTTGGCTCATTACAGTCATGTTGGAACTCATTTTCCTTATTTATCATGTAAGTAGAAATGTGTGCGAAACTAATTTAAATATAGGAGTTCTTTGTCTAAAAGTTGGCTTGTCAGCAAGTGATTCTTCTGATGGACTATCACTTACTTTCCAAGGTTGGAGAGGATGAAGGTAAGATTGTCAGTGTTGAGTCGCTTGACCAGTCCAATGTTGGTACAGTTGGGACCGAGAGAGCGCTTCAGGATGGCTTGAAGCAGACAGTGAGGGGCAACCTACACATCATTGTGAGATTAAGAAAATGCATTACAAGCTTTGAGTCTCAGGACCTTCTTGTCCGTTAAGTAAATTACCTCTTAAAATACCTGACATGTTTATGCGAATGCAGCGAATAACACAAATGGCTCATTATAAAATTTGTTGTTCAATACAATAAACGGTATAACAGATATAAAAGATAGAGCAGGTAAAGCGCCTGGTGCGAATTCTTCATTTGTATTTATATTATAAGATTGTGAAAAATTGCAATTAATGTACAGTAAACTCTCTCTTATACGGACACCTTTTAACTACGCTCGGCGGAATGCCATCTCTTTAACCGGACATTTTTTATCAGCACATCGGTTTAACCGGACTAGATCGGCAGGAAGTGGGCGGTACTGAAACGACTGTTCTGGTCAGAAAGATTTGAGACCGGTGACCACATGTCTAAATATAATGCTCTCCTAATAAAGTCAAATATTTGGGTTAGTTTTTGAGAAACGGTCCATTTTAACGAGTTTTCAGGGATGTTGGTTTAACCGGAAAACCGTTATCCAGTCTGGCCTCGGTCCCGGGAGTCTGGATAAGAGGGAGTCTACTGTATGTAGTCTAGGCAAAATTTACTTTTATTTTAAGGCTACTCTACTTATTTATTGGAACATCTATTCTAACATGTCATTACCAACAAAGTAAATTAGAACAAGTCACAAAAAGAAATCTTACTGTTCCAGTATTATTTTCCACATTGTTATGCTCTTTAGCTTAGCTAATGAGGATGCTTCTTTAAAGTACGGGGAAAGCGTCTGGTGGTAATGTCCACCTGAAAACTCATTTGACAACAAAAACCAAAGATTTCTAATTTTCAAAAACTGTTTTTTAATAAAAAAATATGAAGAGATGTTCTACAAGCAAAATACTAAACTAATAAAGAATATGTACAGCTAATGAATTCGATTGAGCATGACCATTTTCAGTTGTTATCTTACTATTGTATACTTTCCATAAATGAGATTAAAGTTAAAGAACTTGAGCAAAAATCACAGAAATCTAGAATACCTCAATGACGATGGCGTTTTCAGGCACATGTTGGATGGCCTCGTGGAAGAGCACAGGAGACAACAGGTTGTTGACGTGGTAGGCCGCAGAAGACTGCTGGGCGAGGGGTGTTCCCCAGGATGCCTCGGGGATACTGGAACTGATCCACCTGGGTGTGCGTGGCTTGGGGCTCGGGATAAGCTGCCAAAGAGAGAAACATCATAAACACCTCTCAATAAATAGCAAAAGTAACTATGGGGTAGCAGAGTAAATTTGTAATGTTTCTCAGTTTCTTCTTGGGGTTAAGAAATTCTTAATTTAGTCTATCTCTAAACAGAATATTATAGTGTTTAATATATCTGACAACAATCAGAGTAAATAGTGTTGGATGAATGATTATTTTTGCAGTTTTGTTAAACAAGAAGAAATGATTTTACAATGACTACTGAAATGCAAAATGTGTAAATAATAATAAATTTGATTAGGCCTATGCATTTGTGGTCTGATGGTTATGGAATTACAATTTTCCAATACTCATCATTACCCATTCCAACTTAAATATAAAATTGAAATGAAACACATTCAAGCAAAACAATTCTTTTAAATGTTGTGAAGATCTCTTCAAACAAATATCCCTTTGTACTATGTTTCCAATCATCTGCTACATAGTTTTTATGGCTTAAAACTGGACCCAGTTGTCCTTTATCGTTTGGATTTTTAGAAAATAGTCTGATTTTAGCCAGGAACAAAAATACTCTCTCATTCATTCACCACTCTTTAAACTATACTTCCTTATGGTGTCATAGTTATACTAAATCAAATATTCTTAATTAAATCCAATTACTTTAGAATACTTACAGCCTCCAATCGAGACCTCAGCTTGGGAGCAGCTTCTTGGATGTACTTGGAGTGGAATGCCACTCCGGAGCTGGCGACCTCCTTGGCAAAGATGTTCTCTGCCTGGAGTTGAGCTACGAACTTCTTAAGTGCGTCGGGAGGACCTGAGATGGTTACAGAGTCCTCACTGTTGTGGCAAGCGGCTTGGATCTCGGCGGGAGCACGGGCCTTCACCTCCTCCCAGGACAAACCTGCGAACAAGTTCAGTTTAGTAGTCTTTCATTGGATGTTGAAAGTTTTTACATCATGAACAAGAGGAAAGTCTTGGTTCAATAGATCTTTTAATTTTTATTTGAGTGCATTTTGTATAGAAAGAGTCAACCTTTTATAAGGTTGACAGAAAAGAATATCTCAAATACACTAATTTTACTGGAAATACATTAAGGAAGACGGAATGGATGTGCAACTACCTTACAGAAGAAAAGAGTTCCAGGCAGTTTATAGCTCACCAAAGGTCACAACACAACACAATTATATTTTGTCCTCTACAAGGGGTCGTCAGAAGGTAGTAGTCCTACTTCATTTTAATTGGATTCTTTCATTATTGTTTTAGTTGGAAATGTGACTTTTGTAAACATCTCCTGGTTGTAATTTGTAATCAATGGGGGATATTTTAAAAATTGGTTTTTCCTTAATCCTTATTTTTTCCTCTTGGTAAAAACAGATAACAAAATTAAATCATACACTAAAAAACCTTTGTCATGAGTAAATGCTCAAATAAAAACTTTAACCTTTTTGGGGGATTTTTGCAAAATTTGTATTTGCTAGCTCAGCTTTAGTGAGTGGTCTGAGGTAACAATACACCAAATAACAACGTAAACAGAATTTCTAATGCAAAGTAGACAAAGTGAGTAAATTTTGTAGATTTTGATTTGTGTATATGTACGTAAATAAAACTTTAGATTGACAAAGAATCCAATGCACTAGCAGGTGGTATTGTTGACCAACTTTTAGTGATACTTTTCTGCCCATTAACTACATCATTAACTATGCTAAATATAGTTACAAACATTAATACAACAGTTTAATCCTTTAACTATACATTCAAGGGTGAAGAATCTAGACTTACCGACAGCGGCCATAGATCCAGGAGGTAGTTTGGAGTCGAGGATGGCACGACCACGAGAGTACGCAGCCATGACAGTCTGTTGAGCCGTGAGAGTTCCATCTGCGTAAGCGCAGCCAAGCTCTCCTACAGAGTGTCCAACAATCACGTCAGGCACAATACCAACGGAGGTCAGGACATCAGTCAGGGCAACCTGGGGAGTGACATATGAAATTATTAGTATGTATGGGGTATTTGCAAGTATTGACTTTTGAATACTGAGGTAGACATTCAGTTCTCAGTTCTACGAGAATATGGATCAGCTGAAGCTAATTTTTATTCAAATAAAAAAATGCTTAAATGACTCTCAAGCTCTCAAAATATGCTACTGTCAAAATTCTATTTTCTCCCTTAAAGTTGATACTTATATAGCTGGATATGTCTTGTTTACCTTTTTTGTACCCTTTTTACCACTCATTTTCAAGCCAAAATCCACATAAATCAAAATAACAATAAAATTAAAAAAAAAAGCACAAATGCAAAGAAATAAGTCAAATGTGCTTTAGCGGCTTTACGAGGGTCCCGAGGACAGTTGACCAAACTCGCATGACAATATACACATTGTTTCCAGTACCTATAGGACCTGTACTGCACGGTGAACATGGAATTAAGTGTAGGAACTGTGTTAAACTAACCTGAGAAGTAGCGATGGCGATGAAGGAGTTCAGGACGTTGTCAAAGGTCTTCTGGTCTTCACTGAGAAGGATGGACTTGAGGTCAACACCCTCTGGGCGAAGGGCCTCAGCGCATTTCTCGACGGCGTCTGCGAAAGGCTTGATGTTCATCAGACCCTTGGCCATTCCCGCCCACTGAGAACCCATGCCAGAGAACACAAAGCACACTGGGCGCTTGTCTGCTGACACTTGCTGTAACAACAAAGTACACTTTAGTTGTGGGAACTAAAGGTAAAATTGTTTGAAAATAAAATATTGTAGGCCTAAATAGAGAATGTTTGTGGGTGAATGACTGAAAATATTATGTGTAATATGTTTCAGAAATATAGTTAAAGAAAATTAAACCTGAATCATGCTAATTTTTAATTTTTTCAGGATTGTAGTCTTAAAATAGGTATCTAGATAGGGAATACTTTTGGTATGCTTGGGGGTGTGATTGCAACTACTAAAAACTAGGGATGGACGGGTCCCGAAATTTCGGGAATTTTTCGGGAAAAAAATATTCCCGATTATCGGGACGGGATTACATTTGATTCGGGAATTTTTCGGGACGGGATTTGGTCCGATCGTTGGCGATTTTGCCGCTTCGCGAGTGCCGTTGACGCCGCTATTGCGAGCGATAGGTCCGCGAACGCAGGAGACGAAGTCATTTCGACGATCACGCCTTGACCGCAGAGTCCTACCGACGATCGCGCCGTGACTGCGGAGTCATACCGACGATCGCGCCGTGACTGCGGAGTCATACCGACGATCACGCCGTGACCGCGGAGTCATGCCGACGATCACCCCGTGACCGCGGAGTCATACCGACGATCACGACGTGACTGTGGAGTCCTACTGACGATCTCATCGTGACCGCGAGTCATACCGACGATCGCGCCGTGACCGCAGAGTCATGCCGACGATCGTGCCGTGACCACGGAGTTATGCCGACGATCGCGCCGTGACCACGGAGTCATGCCGACGATCGCAACGTGACCACGGAGTCATGCCGACGATCACCCCGTGACCGCGGAGTCATACCGACGATCACGACGTGACCGTGGAGTCCTACCGACGATCTCACCGTGACCGCGAGTCATACCGACGATCGCGCCGTGACCGCGGAGTCATGCCGACGATCGCAACGTGACCACGGAGTCATGCCGACGATCGCAACGTGACCGCGAGTCATAACAAAGATCGCGCTGTGACCGCGATTATTGGACCGACGATCATGACGTGACCGCGAGGCATACCAGCGATCACCCCGTGACCGCGGAGTCATACCGACGATCACGACGTGACCGTGGAGTCCTACAGACGATCGCGCCGTGACCGTGGAGTCCTACAGACGATCGCGCCGTGACCGCGGAGTCATACCGACGATCGCGCCGTGACCGCGGAGTCATACCGACGATCGCGCCGTGACCGTGAGTCATACTGACGATCATGCTGTGACTGCGAGTCATACCGACGATCATCCCGTGACCGCGAGTCATACCGATGATCACCCCGTGACCGCGGTTATTTTGACGATCGCACCGTGACCGCGAGTCACAAGTTTCTATAGGTACCTGTATATTGTTACCCATTTTTTGGTTTTTATAGATCAGTACCACAAACGGTAAAAATTGATTTTGTATGTCTTTTTTTGGTAACTGCAATACTCAAGACTTTCTTTTTATGCACAAATAAAATCCTGTCCCGTCCCGTCCCGAAAATCGGGAAGGAAATAAAAATCCCGTCCCGTCCCGTCCCGAACTAAAAATTCAATCCCGTCCATCCCTACTAAAAACATGATGTGTATAAATTCAAGTGGGAAAAATATTTATTACCTTTTATTTACATTACTAAACCACTATTGGTGTGGTGTTAAAAGTAGGATGTTCTGTAAGTCGGAGATAGATAAAACTCAATCAATCTTTATTTAACTGTACTGAATCAAATTTCACATCTTGGAGCTAAATTGTATACAGGATTCACCTAACAATATGAATGTAACCACAGACAGCGTTGATGTTTAATCAAACTTTCACTGATGTGGTTGGCAGCACTTACCGAAACATCCCTGGTAGGGGTGGGGGCGTCCAGGAGAGTGTAACCTCTGTAGAGATGTCCCGGGATGTTGGAGCTGTGGATGTTGTGGAGCAGAGCTACAAACTCATCGTCTCGCTTTGACTTCTCGATCTGTCAACATCAACATAAAATTATCTTGGGGGAAGTATCCGAACAGCTGGTAATGCATCTGATAATAACTGGCATAATTTATTCACACATTATATTTGTTTGAGCCATCCTGACAATAGATCGTCAGTAACATATCCCTCCTGGACTTAAGCGGACAATGAGAGAACAATGGGTTGTGATCAGTTTTCTGATTGGTGCTGCAATCTAGTTAAAGACATTCAAACAACTCTATCTAAAGGAGTATTTATCCAAAATTTTCTCTCTTTTTCCAATAATCTCTTGAAGCTACCAAAACGTCTGCAACTGTTTCCAACTCTTCCAAAATGCATAAAGTTTCCTTAATTTTCTTTAACGCCTACTTTTGAAAGTAGGTAAGATTTCTTTAGTTAGAAGTAAAAGTAAAGAATTCTTTAATCCAGCTAAACTATAGGCTATGTGGCCACACCCCATCTCTTTCCTTTCCATAAGCCCCCAAACCCTAATCCTGCAAATAATTAATAAAATATAATACTAATTTGGCCACTTAAATAATTTGTGTTAATTTATTTAAATACAAACAGTTATTAAAAATTATCTCACAGTGGGTACCAGTTGTCAATTAACCCTACATAAGTAGGTTATATCATAGACTAAGCAACACTCCTCATCCCATTGTAAATTTTGAAGCTTGTTTTTCATGTCTAGTTCATGTAAGTCCACACTGATCGCTGGGGTAGACCACATTTTGTTTCTATTATTTTAGGGTTATTTTCATGATTTGTGCTTTACTATTTGGTTATATAACTAGGGGACCAGTTATTCTTTATGATTAAATCGTTTTATATGATTAAATGAGGTTTTAAATTACTGAAATAACAAGAAACAAATTGTAAACAAAACATAACCTCTACAGTTGGACGTACAGAACAAACAATAAAATTGGCTTCAGCTGTTCCATAAGGATGACAAATCTACTAAGGAGTATGATTTTTATATGTATTGATCACAAAAATACCTTTTTTCGAGTCAAACTTTCGAGTCACTGAAACCGTTTAGTCCGCTAAGTCATGTTTTTTTGTGGAAATTGGTTGAAATATTTTTGTTTTAATAATTAAAATTATCAGTAAACTAAATGCTCTTATGGATTTAACTGTGGGGATTTCTCTAACACAGACACCATTTCATGTTCTATTGTCTATACTTAAATGAGATAAATGATTATGAGTATTACCTTGTCAAGCCAGTTGTTGACAGCCTCCTGGGTTCGGCCACTGACAGCAACGACGCGGGGGATGTTGTCCTGGATGGCAGGAGCCTTGGGCTTGGGGTTGGAGCGCAGAAGGAGGTGAGCGTTAGCACCTCCGAAACCAAAGGAGTTGACGGCAACATAGCCTCCGTTCCAGGGCCAGTTCTTGTTGACAACCTGTCAAACACAATGTATGAGGTTAAATGAGAATCATTTTACAAGCATAACTCTCAATATTACAAGCATTGTTGTGATTAAACAATATGCAAATAACAGTTATTGTTTACATTTACCTATCAATAGTATTTGACAATATCTGGAATCTTTTCAAACAGTTCAGGTGAACATTTTCTATTACAGTAGTCAAAAAACATCAGCTGACAAGTTTACTAAATGAATACTGAACAAAAAAAACTCTTGATTGTTTATTTGTCAATACTAAAATCTAAGCAAAACCAGAAAGTTATACCTCTCTGCAACAAAGTAAGCTTACCTGTAGACGTCCGTCGTTCAGAGCGGGAATGTCTGGGTTAGGGTTCTTGAAGTGGAGGTTCTGTGGGATCTGTCCGGCCTCCATAGCGATGACTATCTTGGCCAGAGAGCACAATCCAGAGGCCGGCTCGGAGTGACCCATGTTACTCTTGACTGACCCAATGAGCAGAGGAGTGGGACGGTCCTTGCAGAAGAAGTCTGCGATGGAGTTGACTTCCTGGGGGTCTCCAACCTACGGCAAAAATCAACATTATGATTTATTATAACAAAAACATAGTTTTTGGAGTAATCTAACTGCTAAGAACCTTAAAACAACAGGGCTAAGTCAAACAAGACCAATGCTGGTTTTGTGGCAGAGGTGGAATCTTCTGAACACTTGTAGCTGACCTGTACACTGTACAGCCCTAGCCTCAGAAGGTTAAAATTCCTAGGAAAGGCAATAACGGGGCCTCCTACAGCTTTTATGATTCAAACAGATGATAAGAGCATCTAAGCAGGTTCTTAGAACCAGATAAAGAACTTTGAACACTTACCCGACTTCATCTCTATTGGTTGACAGTAGAGAATATTCGCTGGAAGAACTCCAAACAAACCATCAGTTAAGTAGAGATAAATTTGATCACCTTCAATTTGCAGAGAGAATTCCAATTTACACTATTAAATTAAATAGCATTAAGAGACGAAGCCCAAAGAGGGCAGACAAAAGAATTGTAGTGGCAGAAAACTTAAAGGACCAGAAGAAGAGGTAGGCCAAGAAGAAGGTGGATTTATGAAGCTCAGGAAGATCTGAGGACTTTAATAAAACAAAACTGGAGAGATGTGTTGGAGAGCCAGATGAATTGGATGGGAGTTGTAGCAGAAGCCAAAGGCCTGTATAGCTGCAGAAGTAAGTGTGTGAATGAAATAATGTAACAAATTCTTTAAGTCAGAATACAACCAAAGAGTCGTACCTTGGTTCCAGTTCCATGAGCCTCAACGTAGGCTACTTCGTGAGGGCTTACACCACACTCGGAGTACACCTCTCTGATCAGTCGGTTCTGCATGGCTCCGATGGGGAAGGTAATACCTTGGCTCTTGTATCCGTCAGTGTTGGTCTTGGAGTTTACGACGGTTGCGTAAACACGCTTGGCATCTCTTGCCTTCTGAAGGTAGACGACCACAGCAGCCTCACTCCTTACGTATCCGTTACCTGTGAAAAAGGTTATGAATGAAAAATAATTAAAAATGGGGAGTTGCGTTATATGGGGCTTTAGTTTTGATAGGCTTCTTAGAATACCTTAATTGTTCTTTTTTTGCTTTGGGGTCATTAAATGAGCTTCCAACAGGTAAATTAAGATTGTTGGACTAAACTCAAACCAAAATAAAAAAAGGTATATACATTTTTTTGCATGTATTGGCAGTCTTGGAATAAGAGAGAGACAGTTAATACACACAATTAGTAACTATTGTAAACTTAAAGTATTGTATTAAAATCTTTCGATTACAGTAAATATAGTGTATCAGCAAGAATGGGTCTGAGATTATGTGAATTAAAATACTGACATAATTTTATTTTATTGTCTAAGATATTGTTTGATTTTGAGAATCCTAAATAGTTAGTTAATTGCTAAATATAAAATAAAAATATTTGTATTGTTAAAACTATTTTTTAAATAATACACACATTTTTTAATTTTTACATTCAACTTTTTATACTACTCAGGTTTTACTATCAAAACATTGAACCCACCGGAGGAGTCAAAAGCCTTGCACATGCCCTGGGGGGACAACATGCTAAGTCTGTGGAACTGCAGGGAGCAGGTGGGTTTGAGCAGAAGGTTGACTCCTCCTACGATAGCAGCGTCGCACTGGCCTGACCTCATGGCAGCCACGGCCTGGTGTAGGGCGAACAAGGAACTGGAGCAAGCGGTGTCGATGGCGTAGCTAGGACCTGGAACATGGTCGGAGTCAGAGATGTAGGTAAATAAATACAGATCGGTTCTCCAACTTAGGGATGCACCATTAACTAAACTTACCTCTGGAACCGAGCTACAATGGATCAAATTACAGATAAATGACTGTGGCGATAGTTACATAGTTGCCAAATCATTTGGCTAGAACATAGCATTTTTCTTAAAACTTTTAAATGATGTCATGCTCCTTAGGGTAAAGTATATTAGAAGTATAAAACATGTATTTACAATTAAGGCAGTCTGTTTGATACATGAGTCACTGGAACATAAAGGGAGTCAATAAAAAGTAGTTTGCGCAGGACAGGAATATAGGGGTGGTACCAGTTAGCACATTAGTACTCACTTTTTACCACTTGAATAGCTTCTTACACTATCCACAAACTAATGGTACCTATATGTGTTACATCTATGGTTTGTGTAGTCAATGATTGTACCAATTAAAAATCATATAACATATATTCACCAACTCCTGAATAGTTTCAGGTAGGAATGTTACATGACTTTAGTTATGAACATTATTGTGTGGCATTTTAACAAAAATTTAACTAAAAAATAATTTATGACAAAAGTGTCACAGGAGAAAACCCATTAAATGTAATGGTTTAATCTTTTACAAGTTTCAGCAAGGAACCTATTCCCAATTTTGACAATGACCTTTCATCCATAAATCTTGGAATGGTGAATGGTATGTCTTTGAGACTCACCAGAAAAGTCAAATGTGAAGGAAATTCTGTTGGGGAACATAGCTCTGCAGCATCCAGTGAGGCCGTAGCCGTTGACCTTTTCAGGATCAGCTGTCCAGAACTCGTCAGACTCGGACGCAGAAACTCCGATGAACACTCCGGTCTTGGAGCCTCGGACTGTCTGTGGGTTGATACCTGTAGGCAAAGTGATGAATATCGTATTAAATATTTAGTAGACCCTAAAGTTAAACAATTACATAAAATATTTGGATTGGTATTTTTTTTAATGTTTTTACTTTGGGATCAAGGATCAAGTATATAATTCCTATAGCTAACTAGTTCGGTTTATTTCCTGTGCTTTGGAACAGGGTGAGGACTGAGTACACAGAAGAGATAGTGTGGTTCTTTAATTCTCCCGTAGGGAGTTGTAAACACACCCACTCATGGTGGTCAAATTCATGATCCACCTTCGAGTAAACTTTTAGCTAAGTTGGTTTGCTAGTTTTATGTTCAATCAAATCAGTCAAATGCTGTGAAACTCTACATAAACCACATCTTCTTTAAAATACTAAAGTTGTATTTAATTTCAAAAAATAATTATTATTTAGTAGTCACAGTTAACCTTGTATTGACCTAACTAAATAGAGTTGGTAACCAAGACTCACCAGCATCAATGATGGCCTCATGGGTCAGTTCCAGCAACATTCGCAACTGAGGGTCCATCACGTGGGCTTGTTTGGCATGGACGCCGAAGAAAGTAGCGTCAAAGTGCTTGAGGTCCTTCAGCTTGCCGGTCCTGGTGGGCAGACCATACATGCCTGTGTAACAAACATTTACAATTAGGTCAAAGACTTTGGTTAATGATTGATCCTTCCACAATATCATCAGGCCTAGACCTGGAGTTTACAAGTGACACGCTATCCCTATGGGCCCGAGAGACTTAGGCGCCCCTCTCCCTTTTCCTTGCACCCCCAACAAACAAAAAAACCTTTTGCGCCCCTGGGCCCAGAAAGCGGGTCTGAATATCAAACGTAACTTGATTGTAGTTTAGCTTTTTCCAGCAAAATAAAACACAATAGGAAACGAGGAGAGAAGGAACGGCCATTGCGTTTCTACAATATCTTTCTGTATAAATCACTGTAAATAAAGAAAAAGTTATTCTTGACAAATTTTAGGAAACGTTTAAATTTTGGTCAGATTTAATTAAATAAATTTTTGTTATAGCCACATACGTTCAAGTTGTTATCCAAATTGCTGAATAAGTTTTAATAGGTACTTGAAATTGCATTCAGTAAATATTGTAAAATTAGTGGTAAACACATGCATTGCCTCACTTCAGAGTGAAATTATCAAGCATATTTAGCTACTAGATGAAAGTGGTACTGGTACTGTTTATTTATAATTTGTCCTGTGAAAATTATTATGAAAACCTAAATTGTCAGCTATTAATGATTCTCTATTTAATTTTTTTTTAGTTTATGTAGGATACTCTAGAAAAGATAAAAGTAGTACCGTTATTATACATTTTGAAAGATATAAATTAAATTCAAAGCTTTGCCTTAAAATTACAAGGTAATCAAAAGACATCGTAGTTGAAGACTGAGTTATTTATGATTTAACAGCTTCAAGGTGTGACAACGATAAGATCTTATGCCTATCTTTGATAACCAGAATTTCTACCACTTCATGCAGTAAGATTAAATAGATATTTCAAAAGGTCTATTAGTACAATTATCACAAACAAAATGGTTATTATATGGCAATTATGGTGTTTAACAGTGGAATCTGTTATTGTTTCTCATTAGTTCTAACCACTTACATCAATAACACATCCAATAACCTTGATATTTTCCCAGGACAATGAGGGAATTCTGTGTAACAGAGGTAAACATGGAAGCTTATTTACAATCAAGACTGAATATAAGTTATCTAAATTGAAACTTGGAGGCATTCTTCTTTGAAAGTAAACAGGGAAATACTTTTTGGTTGTGGCTTTCAAGTACACAAGTATTTTGTAATTGAATCAGTTGCTAATTACATATACAAATTTTAACAATACTATATCAGCTAAAATGGTCTTAAGAACCAAAAATGAATGATAGGTGAGAAATATTATCTTGCAACTCACAAACATAAACAGTTTGTAATGTGGTATGACTAGTATGAGTGAGTAGTTGGTAAATATTTCAAGAAAGCTTTGCATAATGGATGACTATGAGATTTGAAACCTATGACAATCACCTATTGAGAAATAATTAAACTTAAATGATATTGCTAGTTTTTAACAACTAAAACTGTAAACTGTAAATGTGTGTAAACTATAAATTTTTCATTGAGTAATTTTTCGGATTAGAAATCATTGCTTGCTATTAGTCTTGCAAATAACTTTAGGTAAAAATGAAATACTTGCTCGTTAAAAATGCATAGAGTGACTCATGACCTAGCACAGTAAAATTTATGAGGGTTGTAAGTTTTATATTCACTTATATTTTGGCAATGACTTTTGTAAATTTTACGCCCACTTGCATTTTTGCAAACACTGTTGCCAAATTTACATTTACATTAGCAATGAATATTGTAAAATATAACATCCATATTCATTTTGGCCATAAAGTTCTAACTATCACAATAGTCACAAGTGCAGAAAATGGAATATAATTTCATCGCAAAGTTTTAAGGATTTTCGTGAGGACAGCGGTCCTCCTCACCGTTGCACCTAGAGACAAAGTTTTAAGGATTTTGTGAGGACAGCCGTCCTCCTCACCGTTGCACCTAAAGACATCTCTCATTCAGACCTTCCTGAGCTGAAAATGCTGCCAGGGAAAGTGAAGTAGGCTATTCTAATTTTTGTGTATCTAATGTAAAGATGTGTGTTTTTCTTTTACCATATTTTTATTTTTTAATTTTGGTAAACCTGATATCTTAATAAAAATCCTTAAAGATCTTTATTCTCTATGTTACTTCCTAAATTTCTAAACACTACACTTTCAAAAATTGAAGTTGACTGTTTATTTGCCAAAGTAAAACCAGACTTTACTAACCAGAAGGCCATCTTCTTTCGTCATCGGTGATGAGGTCAACTCCGGCAAATAGCTGTTCCTTAAACTCCTCGATGTTGCTGCTCTCCGGGAGTCTTCCAGAGATTCCGGAGATGACGACATCATCGTCCAGAGTGAAGCCTCCTACTCCGGAGCTTCCGGAGTTTCCGTTCTGGAGTCCGGAGACTTCCCTCTGGGGCACCTCTGGGAATCGTGCAGGCATCCTCTGTTTCAGTACTCTGGAAGAGAAAATTATGAAGTTATAGCAAGCTAGGGATCGACTAAAGTAAAAATCAAATTTTTTTAGGTGCATGATTTTTAAGTTAGTGAGTATTTATTTGGGGATTTAACTTAAGTTCGTAAGTGAATGAGGGCAGGTCTGATGAGAAGGGGGTAGGAGAAAACAGGTTTTCAGTATAAAATATCAAATAATTAATAAATGAACACGTTTGAGGACCTCAAAATGTTTGATAGGCTATTTTTATTTTTTTGATATAGGCTACAATGTAAGCGGTTAATTATTTATTTCAAATTCATTAAGCCGCTTCTTTCAATATGCTAAATTATTCAACCTAATATGATGAATTAAACAACAACTAATTAGGCCTACTTATTATCTCCAAAATCTTTCTTCTGAGTCTTAAATAAATTTAACTTAAAGGCAAAACTATCCAGCTGTTTAAATAAAAAAAAAATATCTGAAGACAATTGCTTAACTATTTTGATCTTTTGTTATCAGTGTTGCCAAACCGACCTATACGACCATGATACTATGATAACGTGACCTTGAAAGGTCGTCCTGATATATTCGAGAACTTTGCTCGCTGTTATTGTTAACAATTATCCTCACGCAACTTAGCTCAGCTAAGGACAGGTTGCAGTAGAGCAAGGTTGGTGGTGTCTACTAGCTCAAGAGATCAAACATAATCAGTCTACCTTCCTATGGGAAATGACACCTTTTTATGTTATAAACATGATTCCGTAATAGGTAAATTGAGTTAATTAGTTGAATGTAATTTCCAAGAGCGTATATAGACTAAGAAAACCCCACAAGTTTTACGTTATTCCCACACAGTGTCTTTGGTACAAAAAACTCTACATCTATAAAAAAGGTATTAATTCGAACACTACGACGACAAACCTACTTCAAATGCTTCATGAGTTCAATTAGTTACAGATTATGACAGCGAGTGCATTTCCGAAATATTCTGCGGAAACGGAAGTTGCGATTTTAGAAAAGTATAAAACTCCGGATACAACCAACCATGCAACAATACTGTCAACAACAAACAGGATTTGGCAAGCGAAGCCCTGCTTGGTTCAATTTGTTCAGCCAGGGTAAAATAGACGTTGGTGTGCGTAGTTGGTCTAATTAAAACATGATGAAAACATTGACCGACCAAAGAGTGGGTTGTAATTGGCTCCTATCAACATTTCTGAGTTTAAAAAAGTATTTACGTGTGAAATATTTCAGTTGCAAACCTGTGGGGGGTTTACAAGAAAAACAATCTAATAAATTACAGTACTTGGTAAAAAGTACGATCTGAATAATTAAATAGCTAGATAATGTAGTGCATGCATAAAAATTATTGGTATGCGTTGAAATTTTACAAATAAACAAAACTGTTCCGGATATATATTCCGATTTTTGTCAATTAGGTCTACATGACGTGTTGGTGGAAAATTTTGACGCCACTTGTTATTCTACACCGATCAACTAAAAAACATGATAAGGCTCGGATTTCTTTTGAAAAGCCGAAAGATAATATTTCGTGTAGGCTTATAATTTCTAAAAATAAAAGTTGACGTTTAACGTTACAATACAAATGTCAGTGTGTGGGTTTTATTGTGTATAAGTGAATAAATAGATCAATACCTGATATTTGGTAGTGTGGAAGATATACGATTTATCAATCCGAATTGTAAATAACAACAATGCAACCTAAAGTATGTTTCACAAAATAACAAAATATAGTCAAACATCATTAAAAACCAATAATTACCATGACTAAAAATTAACATACTTTCAGACTAAACCCTTTCGTACATTTCTGATACTTGTATTGTTTGACGCGCACAACGTCTATCTTATCAAGATGTCGCACTTGCAATCGTCTCGGGACGGCCGTGACCGTATGAATTTATAAGATAAAATGTTCAATCAACTAAACTAGTGAAAATAGAAATAGAAAAATATTTCTTAATTCGTGGAATTCATCAATTATCAGCTCAACCTTGTGATCTGCGTGTAGCTCGCTGACGGCTGATTGGTTCGAATTATTGTAAAACGAGACGAATTTCACAACTGAGTGCGGTTACGGAAACGTCATTCAGGGACTGCGAGTTTTTTTGACGTCGGGCGCAATTGTGTATGAATAGAGTCAAAAGTAGAGAGGTTTTAGACAGTTCGAGTAGTCTATGGTTTTAGATATTTTTAGGAAGAGTGTACAACGATCTTCTTTGCCTGAACTTAGTCTAAAAAAATAGAGTTTTAAATCAAATGACTTTTTTTGTTCATTTAAAACGGTTTAAGTTATTTTAATTTAAGGGGTCGATCCGGTCAATGGTACTACTGTATTATAAATATATAAAAACTGATAATATTAATAATATAGGTATCTAATTAGTAACCATCCAATAGATATCAAGCTAACCAAAATCTCTGAACAATTACGAACAATTCGGAAAAATGAATACAAAATAACCATATGCAAATACGAGTAGACTAGTACGACCCCAACATGAAATAAGCTAAAATATACTATTCCTATGCATATTGAGCATTGCTCCTTAGTTGTAAATCAAGACTGAAAGTGAATAACTTTTGCACAATTTTATCAATGACACTAAACAACAAAAGAATTCAATGAAAATGATGATAAAATCATCCATCTTCGAATTCCAGAAAACCAACTCGAACAGCAACAACTATTTGTTATGGAGACATTTGGAAAGAGGAAATCTAATTTTTCTAAGGGATACTCTAATATATCGTAACAAAAGCGAGGTGAGTGAACTAATCTTCCCAGAGTTAATCAAAATGTTATCGGCAACTTTAGGATTGCTCCAAAATCCGACGGTTGGTAAAATACTACTGTATAACAATATAATGGTTCACAAAATCTTAATGATTCCAAAGGTAGTTTATTCGAAACTTCTGACAGGTAGTTGACATATCGATATTACTGACAGACTGCCAGCCTCAGCTCAACGCGTCACACAGGCAACAAGATAACTGCCTCTATTGTAGGTTCATCAAAGAGTATTGTGACTGGACACGTTGTGCACGATGTGTCTGTGCATCTGTGCACAATTCTGTACAATGCACCATGGTGCAATCGCATGAAAGCTTATTCATTATTTACTCTATTCATTATCGTTCATATAACAATAATTGTGGGATACAGAAGTGTTTAAGGTTCATTGGGACGTTATTAAGCGAATCAATAGAAAATGTCTAAAATTGAAATTGACACAGTCAGGTTGAAAATCGAGTAGTTTGCACAATATATACTTTTGGTCAAGTTTTCGACCACGGGGCGAGCTCTCGTTTCAAACTAATTTGGCATTGAGAGGTTAATCACTATGTTGTTTTGGTTAGAATTGTTTGTATCCTCTTGGAGGACTTATACAGTGTGAGTCATAAGAAAATCACTGTAAAATCAGATAACCTGACGGAAATGACTTAAATGTGCTCGAGACACATTAGAATCTTGAAATACCCAGATTGACTGATGAATTGATTTTATGTAATCGTTTAGAACAAACTATTATACTAAATGTTGTTTGGAACTACTTTCTGATAGATGGATGGTTTGAGCGATATTTGTGGACGAGTGATCAATTAATTATTCATCTTAATTATTGTAAAATTATCGGTCCTGTGTTATAATCATTTTGGAACTGCAGTGAAGACATCGATATAGTTATATATCGATGAGTGAAGATAGCATTAGACTAGTTAGAATCACTGTTATAACAATTTTAAATCAAGTTTACAGCAAATTCGAGGAATATAATGTTGGTCTTGAGTTTTCAAATGAAAACAATCCAGAATAAAATTACAATCTACAGCATTTAAAAGCAAAATAATTTTAAAAGGGCTCGAAACGAATACAAACAATTACCGATAAGTTAATTCACGGATTGGTTAGGTCTAGATAATGACAAGTGTCACGATAATAATTGTAGCTAGGCCTACTTCTATACACAGCTAAATTGTCAACATGTTGATGTTTAATAACATTCAAAATAGTATCAATTTATCATCTACGAAGCTTCGGTAATAGGAAATAATTACCTTACTACTATTCCCCCTTAGTTTGTTTAACAGTTCCTATTTCAGTTTTTGATCGTATTGATAAACAGATAAACTTAGACAAGATTTATTTTATAATTTAATCCTTTGTTAAAACACTCACGTTATTTATTTGTTAACAAAACAACGATATCACATTACGTCTGTTGGCCTGGATGGGCAACAGACCATGTAAACCATGTAAACATCAAAACTTGTCTTTGAAATGAAATGTGTTTAATCTAAATTTATTTATATAGAATTTGCACTATTGCTTAAATGAAATTAAAGATGAATTGTAACATGTTTATAGCTATGTGATTTTGTAGTTCAAATTATCCACGAAAACTCAAATCTATATCGTGTCATTTGTTGTTACTATTTAGTAATACCTGTAGCTGAAACGGATACAAAACTTGATTTGGAATGTGTAGTCTTACATTTTGCAGCAATGCAATATTGTCGCGTCTAAACTACCTATTTATCAAATTCCCATTTGTGTTGTGCATTCGTGTAAGCTATGTAGGTGCAGGAAATATTACACTCTACTCTACCCTCACCAAATAGCCTATTATTTCAAGCGAGAAGTTCACAGTCACAAAAATTCAAGTATTGAGCTCGCCTAATATTATGTAACTTATTGATATTACTATTTTTGAATTAGACTTAGTACCAAAACTTTGTTTTACTCATTATGTAGGAACATTTTATAATTTTACAAATAAAAAAATCATTTGATCATTTCATTTTTTCATCATCAATCATTTGATTTTATCGTATATTTTTTACCATTCCTAGCTGAATAAAAGATATACATGTTAAAAACCAATCCATACAATGTAGTCAGTTTTAACTAAACATTTACTATAAGTGTAATCTATGAAGAGTTTCAACTCACCACAACTTATGTTTGAACGAAACAGGGTATACGCGGACACAACCCGAAATTGATTCGCACTTAGAAATATAACTTGCCAAAGGACCGAGCCCAGCTATGGTCCAAACCTTTATTGCGCGCGTTATCATGGTGTGATGTCAGACCATGTGTTTTGAGCCAATGGGAGAGCACGCCCCCCCCCCCCCCCCCCCGGCTCAAGACCAGCTCGATACTCGCAGGGAAATAATCGAGCGGCGGGGAAATTTCGCGGTGTACTCCACAACAACCAGCCTGTTTCAACAATGAACTTTTCAAGGTGCGGATTGTTTATGGTTGTTTATGAGAATGCAAATTTGAATAGTGACAATGGAATTAAGGAATTGGGACTTGTCGTTGATTTCTATTGTTATGTTTTATGTTCTATAATTTACAGTTTTGTTTGAGTAGTCATTTAGCACTAAGAAAATTAGGCTAAATTATTATTGATAGTAGTTTACATAATTATGAAGATAATCTGCTCGAATGAGCCTTGTTTTAAAATCAAATAATCATTACTTATGTTTAGAATAAAACTGTACAATAGTGTCATAAAAGATATTATACATAGAAATCCTAATAAGCTTTTGGGCATTTTCATATAATATTAAAAAATCCAGTAATTACAAAATTACTTACAAATAATTACCAAAATAAAGCTCTAGATTGTTTATCTTTCGTTAAAACGTTTTATAAACATGCCACAATCCTGTACCAATAATTGATACATATTCAGGCTAAGTTTATTATTTTAATAGTTGTTGCCTATATAATGAATGCTATTTTATATTTTATTGAAATATATTGTTAAATATACATTAAAACACGTAAAGCAGGAAACCCACACCCATTGTTATTAAAACAGTTAAAGTAATTATGCTAAAAACAAAAAGTATTAACTAATAAATTAGTCAAAGTTTAATGCAGTTAAACAAAACAAACCCCTGCGCTTAGTTATAGGCCTACAACCATTGATTATACATCTCTGCCATCGTTGTAGTTTGTATTAGATCCCATAAAATAATTTCAATAAAATTTTCATTTCCTTTCAAAAATTGCGTATGTAGCTGTGTTGTGTGAACAGTTCACAGTTCTCAGTAATAAATAATGTAAACAAACAAGTAATGTGCATACTGTTTCCATGGAAACCAATCAATACACCAGCAGCGTTATTCACATAAGCTGAACGCAGTAAACTTTTTAAAACATATTACTTTACACAAAATATTATCCACTTAATTTGTTTCAATTACTGTAGTAGATGTTCAGTTCAATAGTGTAAACAAATGAGCTGTCAAAGCTATTCGAAAAAAAACATGGATGTTTTTACTGGTTCCATGGAAATCAACCAATAACACAAACTCGCTAACTTAGGATAGATTCATGTGGGACTTTGATATTGGAAATAAGACAGAAACCCTCCTAGCTGTAGAACAAATTTCATTTTCATTACGATAGAAAATATTTAATCAAAACACGGAAATTTGTTCAACACAAATTAAATTTGATAATTATAAAAAAACATTATAAATCTCACCTTTGGGTAAAAAGTACCATACTTCGCACGCACCAATGTAAATCCTAAGGCACTAGCCTAGCTACCGTGCACTGGTCTATAGTCCTGCTCCTGCAGTAAATGAAAATGACAAGAAAGATAGGTTATGGTTGGTGGAGGAACAACGGACCAGGTGAACCAGCCAATCAGAGAGCTTCCTACGATCACCTGACTCGGCGGCAGGTATTCGCGGGTTTTTAACTCCGATGACGTCCCGCGGTAAAAGTGGTGTCTTGTTTGAAATTGACGGATATGAGCATTGAGCAACAAAACAAACAAACGTTGTTTGATGTGCTGCGCAGTTACTGAACATAGTTGGGTGGAAATAATTCGGGAGTTGAATTTAAATTTGTAATGAATTCACAATTATCTCACTGTTTTGGTGGTGCCTTTATTAATAGTATGTTTTGCGTATGTGCGATTTCATCTTTATTTTAACTTTTTTAGAACCAGCCATGAGTTGAGTGTTATGTTTTAGTGTATTTATACGGTTCGTATTATTATTATTAAAGTTTCCCGTCACTAGATTTTTCCTATTCTCGCGCTCCTGTGGCTGTGTTAATAAACATGTTTTAACCTTTTTTTACTCTCTATCGAATATTTATTCTTAATCATAATTTTGTTGTACTGTATGTTTTATTATTATTATAGTTCAATTTTCATACCATCATCACATGTCTAAGTCAAAGTACTGTACTACCAAAATAAAGAAATTGTACCTACAAAATAATGTAGGCCTATTATTCTTTAACATCCCATGGGCTTTTGATACTGTTCTATCGTTCTATCAATAGTCGAAGGCAATAAACAACACAAATAAAGTTCACTAACTTGCTTGTTTTCCCCTTGGTATCAATATCAATATCTTGATTTTGCAAGATTTTGGTCGTGTTCTTTTGGTTGTATTATTTTAGTTACATTTTTGACATACGTAAATTAATACTGATAAATAAGTAAGTTCTGAACAGGTTATTGAAAAGATCGGGTTTAATTTAATTTTAAAACATTAGAACTTGTTTTTAGAGAATTTCGCATATTGTGAATAAGCTATTACCGTGGTTAACGTGATTAGACCTAGATTCAGGACCGATTTACTTCTTCGTTTTGAGGTCCACAGAGCACAAAACACCATCCGTTCGATTTCATATATACACGTGTGTGTCCGTTAGCACGATAACACGCCCAGCAAAAATTATCCGATTTTTATGAAATTTGGTATAATACCAAATTGGGTTTTCTGAAATTAAATGCAATTCCTATCTCCACCAAACATTTTAATGTAGGCCTACACATTATAATCTAGACAATATAATAGATTTGTTATACATTATTTGATAAGGAACTATTTACTGTATTAAAATCAAGTTTTTTTCTAAATTCGATTCTCTACCACATGTAGTCAGCACGGTATTCTGATACAACAGGTTATGTATGGGTTTTTGCAAATAAGATGCCTTAAAGTTGTTATTGTAAGTTCATTCTATATGGACAGTATTTAATTATTTGGCCATAAATAATTAATTAACGTTAATTAATTAGTTTGGCTCATATGCCAAATAATTCAAACTGTCCATATAGAATAAACTTACAATAACAATTTTTAATCATCTTATTTGAAAAAAACCCGATACATACATATGGACAGTATGGACAGTATGTATTAGAAAACCGTTTTGACTGTATGTAGTAGAATTGAATTTAGAAAAAAACTTGATTTTAATAAAGTAAATAATTCCTTATTAAATAATTTATAACAAATCTATTATATTGTCTAGATTATGATGTGTAGGCCTACATTAAAATGTTTGGTAGAGCTAGGAATTACATATAATTTCAGAAAACCCAATTTAGTATTTTCCGTTAAATCTGATATGAAAAAACGTTCATCTTGATAACACGTGAGATTAGGAAAGGTTTACATTTAAGCAGGTACTTTTCCAGTTATCAGGTTTGACTTAGGGTATATTAACGGTCAGGCTTATCCTCAAGTTAAGATTCGATCAACCTCCCTAATTAAAATAAAATTGATTAAATAAGATTATGATAAGATGAAAAGCGGTTTAACTCAAAAGAGCTATTTACTGAGCCAGCCTACCAGATATTGAATATTGTTTATTTCAAAAGGAAAGATGCTAGGTGCTAATATTGTTCACAGAATCTAATAATATTATGAATGTAGATTTAGAGGGTTAGGCAAAAGCATGTACAGTATACCTCCTCTTAACTTTTCAATGGATTGCCCAGAAAAACTTCTTCATACCTATATTACACTTTTTGTTCAGTACGAAATATTTGCCCTTGACCCATTTTAAGAGCAAGTGAAAAATGTCAAGCCACATCGAGTTGCACCTCGTTTTAAAGGCCTTTTCAAAAGATAATGTCTATCTCAACCCAGTATGAAATCGTGGTTCATCATTTTATGCGATTTGACTTATGCTGAAAATATTGTAAAATAAGACCCCTATCTTAATTTTTCAATGGGTTTCACCAGGAAAACTAAGCTTTTTACACCTTTATATGGCGTAAAAATATAATTTTTGGTCGGCGTGGCAGTTTTGCTCGGGATTCCAATGTATTTTGAGGGCAGCTCCATTGAGTGACTCCTTTGTCCATTGTATCCATAATGTTGTCCAATCCTGTATGGTTTAAAATTATTTTGAAATTTCATTAGTCTTAAAACCTAAACACTCGATTCTTTGGTTTCTAAATCAATTTGACGTAAAGAGTAATTATATCGGTACTAACTAACAACTAAATGAGTGATGACTAGTGTGATCATTGTGCAAATAATAAATAGTCCATTCATTATTAGTGCATGCATTAAAAGCAACCAATGATCAATAGTAAATATACATGTGGACGGTCGTTCAATAAGTTTAATATAAGCTACTCTAAATAAATAACCAGCGACAATAAATGAATATACTGTATTACTAGAATACATAATTATTATAACTTATTTCGCTTCACCATGCGTTTAACTATTCTACTGTTCGTACTAAACTAGTTTAAAATATACAATTACACAATCATAACACGTTTATTTATGTAAAATGTTCGTAATGCAATTGGGGTCAGTTATGCTTTAATTTTACGTAATTTTACGCTTAAAGACTCTTGCAAAAGAAGGAAAACTAGCCAACATCTCCTATTTTAACTCAGCTTCAAATTATAGCTATTTGAAAAGTTCTCGTCAGGCTTCTTATCCTCAGTGGAATCGTTTTCCTCGACTTCTCACGGAAATTATCTAAAATTATTGTCATTCTCTGATTTGTTTTCCCCCTTATTATTGGGCAGCCCTTCTTATTGGTATCTCAAGTTTTTTGTCATTCAATGACGAAACAATGTTTACATCGATCTAAAGCTTATTATTTTTTATCAACTTTACACATTGTGTAACGCCACGTGAGGTAGAGTAAAAGGTAAATTCTATGAACAATTTAGTAGTTATTTATAAAAAATATTGTTGTTACGAATAGTTAAATAAGTAACATATTTATTTAGTTTAAATTATCTGTTCAGTGAATGGTATTTCATAAATTCCATTGCCTCG